CACCATGAAATCATGCTTATGTAGCTGAAACTCATGTGAACAGCATGGTGGAAATAGCAAATTTTCATGGTGGAAATAGGCGTTCCCTTCAATTATTGCAATATTACTTTCTAATCTACTATTTTTTAATCAGAAATGTGCCCTCATACGAGATGATTACGTCATTTCTACATTCATTTCACGAAGTAAATCACAGCAATCAGTGGATTTATATCAGTAAATTTTATCATTAAAAACGTAATTACAAAATTTGTTCCCCGAAGATCTATATTTCCAGTCGCGCGACATGTGAAAATATGTGCTAGGTTTATTTCGTGCGAGGCATATATCTATCTCTAATACTTTAATAATTTACTAAAATTTATTTACCATAACTTACACTTTATTCGCGTACGTATTCACAATTAAACTTACTATTTATATTTGTTTATCTGAAAAAAGAATAGATCTTGAAAATCGAAATAGGATTAATTATTTCTATTCCATAAAAAGATATTAATATTCTCGTTATCTGATAAAAAAAAAAAAGGTAAATCAGATAGAAAATCGAAAAGCATATGATTTAAGTCGTTAATTTAAGTTTCAGTCGAATCCGATTATAGTTATCGTAATTACAGAATTAATTAAATCATTAAACTTACGAACGATCGCGATCGCCGTATGTACGTATGATCATACACAATCACTATGAAAAATATGAAAAATAACATGATCTCGGATACTCTACTGTGATAATCATACCCAGCACTATCATGTTTTAGATCACATGATGTCACTCATATAAAATAAATTTACTTTCGTGACGTCACTTTAGATTTTTGCAAACGAATGCTGCCAAGGAAAAACCTGTCATCGGGCTTTTAATTATATTTTGTGTTCAGTTTGTACCCTAAGTGCCGTCTAGGGAAAATCTATCATCAGGTCTTTAATTATACTTGTCGATGATAGATTTTTCCTAGACGGCACTTAGGGAACAAACTGGACACAAAATATGATTGAAAGCCCGATGACAGATCTTCATATGTAGTCACAAATTTATACATTTAATGGTAGTATGTTTGTTTAAAAAACAAAGAAAATAAAGTAAAAAAGAAAGGACATTTCAAAAGATGCAAAGCAGATAATGAAAATGCTACTCAATAGCAGCGGAGAATGATAAGATTAAAACAAAACCTTTTTACCCAGTGATAATAACATTGATTGTTGAAAAATTCGAACTTTTCCGCTTCCTAATATATAGAACCAATATAACATTTCATTGGTACAGTGACGCAGTCACCTAAGAATATAACATAACTTCTTTCAATTAGAGCCACTGATTAGCTCTATTTGAATTGCTCAGCTCGCAAATGGCTTGGCTCTAGCCTATAGAGCCATCAGTTTGTCGAGCCGGTCAGCCGTTTGCATCTCCAAAATCACAATTTTGTTCCGCGAATCAATGTGGAAAGATATAATTAGGGTGCGGAATGGGCCGGGTCGGGCTGGATTTTGTTGGGCGGGAAAATATTTTTGAGCCAAAAAAAAAGAAAGCTCAGTGCAGTGGGCCCGGCTGGGCTTATTTAAAAATTCGACCAGACCCGGCCCGTTAAGTTATAAGTAAAGCTTCCATGGGCAGAAATTCGTTCAATTGACTAGCATAAATCAGTTGCCAATTAACTTAAGACCACAACTTCACTGCAAAAGAATCAAAAAAGATCAAATCCCGAAAAATTTGCATAGAAAATAAAGTATACGCCTACCGTTTATTGATCATATCAAATTATACTGGAGAATGAGGTAATTGAAACGTTTTTGTTAAAGATTTTTATTACATTGAATTTAAATAAAATTTTATTAACCATTTAATTTAATAGAAATAAACTTATAATGAAAGGTCCTGGTTTAATACTCGAATATGTTCAGTTCTTGCAGCGTGGTCTGTTAATCGTAATAAGTCTTGGTTATAATATTAATAAGTTTGGATTCATTGATAATAAATACCACATTTACCCAATTTACCTCTTTTTTACGTATGCGATTAATTAATTTTTTTTATACATTGATTTACAGTATAAGCTGCTTCATACGAAAATTTTTTTATTTCATATTAAATAGTACTAAAAATGATGAACATTTTAACAACTATGTAATTTGACTGGTTAATTATCACGGGTGATCACACAAAATTTAACCAATCAGATAAACTTTCATGAGTTTATCGGGTATTATTGGGCCCATCTGGGCTTTTTTTAACAAGCTCAAGCCCGGCCCAGTATTTTTTTTCAAGCACGACCCGAGCCCGGCTCACATAATAAACGGGATTAAAAATATGGGCCTAAACTAGGCCCAAGCCTGGCTCGGCTCGCAAATTACCGGATTTAGCCCGGCCCATTCCGTATTCTAGATATAATGAATATAATGAATCACATCTCTCTTAATTTTGTCGCAAGTTTTCCATATTCGGTAATAAATTCGGATTTACGAACGGTATCCCAAATTCTCATTGAACTTCGGAACCTGCAATTAAACAAATACCAATTTTAAACATTAATGTAACAGTATCAATAAATTACAAACAAGAAAAACAAGAACCAATTAATTAATTTACCATTCTTTTTCAGACACCTGGCCTTTTTTACCAGCCTTTTTTGGCAACTGAAATATTTGATTTCTCAAAGATTCTGCCAAGACAATAAATGTATCAGGAGCGTTTAAATAAGTAAATCCAATATACTCCCCTTTAGGACGAAGGGGTTGATTCTCATAGGGAAGAAGAAAAACGTTTGGTAATCGTTCATTATCTGGATACTTGTACATAGTCAATGACTTTGTCATGGAAACATTTCCTAATCATAAAATGAAATCAAATACATTAGTAAAAATTTAAATATTAAGATACAAAAGTATCATATTACCAAAAACTTTCAAATTCGAATCTTTAAACATATTATTCAATAAATCGCAGATAGACGTATGTTTAGTTGACGTGAAATCGGCGGGCAAAGTTTTATTACATACCAATACTATTGACATAAAGTATCGTCAAAAAGAAACGCCACAAGTAAAAATAATAAAAAGTAGTAATCAAGGAAAAAATAATTACCAATATCAGGATAGTATTCGGTACCAGCGTCCATTGACGCTAATGATGGTATAGTTGGAAATTCTGGTATATGATATTTCAACATTTCTGCTTTCTTTAAAAAATTCCACATTGCATAATCTATACTCTCAGTGACAGTAATAACAACGTTGCAAACCGAAAAAAGAAAGATAACAATTTGAAGTGACTATCCGAAAAAGCCTTATATATAAGTACGTAAATTCGGAACCAAAATTTTTATGTCATAATTCGAGTATTTAAAAATCCTAACCTGTAGCTCAAGCCATAATTCGGGTGATATATTATCTGGAATGTAATCATTTCTCATCGCATGTTCGAGAACTGATAAACTAAAAACAGGCTAGAAATCAAAAAAAAAAAAAAACCTTTAAAAGTAATTTACGTTAATGAAAACATAATTTAATATTATTATACTATTATACCTGAGTATCTAAAAGTATGATCCTTTCAGGCGTGATATGAACATCAATACCCGTAGTTTCATGGCAGGCTAAATTTAGTGTATCAATTGATTGCATAGGGAAAGCCTAATACGAAAAAAAAATATATATATATATATATAAAGTTATTTTCTCGCCATTGATTAAAAATTTTATAATTTTGAGAATTTAAATACTTGGTCATACATTCTGCGGGTCTTGACATAACGCAGATATAACAGTAGATTTTCCAACTCCTTGAGGTCCACATACTCCAACAACGAAATGACCCGGAAGATCACTTAAAATCTTTTAACACATAATTCTTTGTTAGAACTACCTACTTCAAAATCCGGCATTTCTTCACATGCTAACCTTTAAAACAGATTCGTGGTTAAGTACACCCTTCTCATTAATCATTTTCACAAATGGTTTGTCGAATGGCTTTCCTTTAAAAGTCATTGGCTTGGTCTCTACGCGTGGTGCATTAACTGAAGATGCGCGGTTAAAAGAATCGTCGCGAAATATGCGAACAGGCGGGTGAAACGTTGTTTGTGAAGAGCCTTCTTCTTCACCCTTGTCAGGAACCTGTGGAGTTGAAACGCTGGAAGTTTGTGGTCTACGTTCAAGAATGACAGGTGCCTGATAGAAAGATTTCGAAAGGTGGTCCGGAGTTGGTGTTGTCAATGACCCTGAAGAAGAATCCTGAAAGTCAATTACAAATGTAAAAAACTAAATAAAGTTCTTGTAGAAAATATATAATTAAAGAAAAACAATTTGATTGCATACCTTCGGTTTTCTCTCGCGTCTTCGGCCGTTACTTCCTTCTCCACGTGAGCGTTGATCTCTTCCACCCCCGTCCCTTCTTATGTTTTTAGTGTATCCAATACCATTCCCCTCACGACCTCCTCTGCCATTTCTTCCTTCTTCGTTACGGTCTTCAGATTCTCGATTACCATTGCTTCCCTTCGCCATAAAGTTGTTTAAATATTGAACTTGCAACAAGTAAATCGTGAAATTCTCGCTGTTGCTGTTATACGTATATCGAACATGATGACTTTATTCTTACGAATCGATATAATTATCCGATATTATTAGGCGCAGTCATAAGCCACAGTGGCGCCGATGGTTTCCCTGGCTGAATAAACCGTGGCTTGTCAAAAATGCTAGAACCAGAACGAGAAAATTGACCAATAAAATCCATGCTGATCTCTTGAAAAACTATAATTTAATTAATCATGAATGTCTCTACCTGCTTACCACCTGCCCCAAATTGGAATTCTACAAAGGCTGCAGCAATCTCTTTAGAAGAAAACTTGTTTGCTTATACCTCTTCAAACGACGTTATATTATTAAGCGCTGGAACACTTCAATATGTAGGTAGATTTCGCGGGCATACAGACAAGGTTAACGCCGTGGACTTTTGTGATAACCTTTGTGCTAGTGGAGGTGCCGATAACACAATAAGATGTTGGGATGTGCTGACCCAAAAGCAAACAGCTATTTTGAAGCATCATAAGGTATCAATTTTACGGCGAAATTATTCATATCTGTGATCCTATCGAGTATAGAATTGACTAATACTTTAATACTAGAGTGAAATTTATGCATTGGCGTGGATAAAAGACAAAAAATTTGTAGTATCAGGTATAATATTTAGACATTTTATCGTGTTTTTAAATATGAAATAATTTTTGACGCGTTTTATCGGATGATTTTAATTATAGGAGACAAATCTGGTGATATTTCTATATGGAATCCATCAAAAAACAAGTCCAACAAACTTTACCTCATTCAGTCTCCAATATATGATATTTCATCATCACCTACAGTTGAGAATTCACTAGCGATTGGGTAAGCATTATTATTTTTCTTTTAAACAATGATTATTTTATTAATAGTTTTTTTTTTTTTTAGTTTTCAAAATGGTGCTATAATTGTCGTTAAGGTTGATTCTGACTTGAATGGAAGGATAACGCGTCGATTAAATGGTCACAATTTTGAAATTCAAAGTCTATCATGGGAATTTCCAACTGGTATTTGTCCTCCCATATATTTAAAGCTTATCTCTTACGTATCACACACGATTCACATTACATTATATTACATTATAGGGGATTATGACACTGCAAAGTATACTTTACTCGCATCCGGCTCTCGGGACAAAACAATACGCATTTGGAATGTCGAAGAAGAAAGTTCGATAAAGACAATTAATTTACCCCAGCCAATGCATCATCTCACCGATCAACAAAAATCCAGAGTGTGGGTGGCCTCAACATGGATTCCAGATCGTAATAGTGTGATTACAAGCTCATATATGTTTGTATAGTGTTTGCAGAAATTATCGTTTATTATTTTATATTGTAATGTTCACCGACAATATTTTCTTATCCTCCCTATATCATTTTGTTTATTTTTACTATTCCTATACATGCCTAAAGGGGTGATTTACTTTTATGGGATTTAAATGTTTCAACTACGAAATACCAAAAGTTTTTGAGTGGCCATTCTCGAAGCGTTTTTTCGATTGTGATGTATGCATGTGGTACGAAAGCTATAACAATCTCTATGGACCGAAAGGTAACTTTACTTAGTTCATATATTCTTTCCTTTTATATTCTTTCCTTTTAGTAATTTATAATTCTTTCATAATTTATAATTCTTTCATCATTAAATTCCAGATTATTCTCTGGGATCTCATCCAAAAGAAGCCAATTTTTACTGTGTCCTGCATTCACAATTATGTTAGTGACATTGATGTTTCTGTAGTGGATCCACATAGGCTTGCCATTGCAAGTGGTGATAATAATATTCGTGTATGGAATATCGCGAATAAGCTTGATCCATTTAGCTGCACTTTGTATTGGAAAGGCTTGAAAAATAAACTTACATGTGTAAGCATTTTAACAAACCTCTTTTAGCATTAAATCTTAACATTATTATAATTGTTATATTAAAAATTATATAGATAAAATCCCATCCAAACCGTGAAGGATTCCTTGCATTTGGAACTGATCTGGGTAATATTGGCTGGTATGAAGTATATAACGACAAATCCAAAACCTTCAATTCTTATCATAAAAGCAAGGTCTACTCTATCCATTGGTGTAAACCTGAATGGTTAGGCCAAGGTTTAGCAGATGAGAATTCAGACTACAGCTTAATTATAAGTTGTGGTGGGGATGGACAGATACTTTTAAGTGATACTACGAAACCAAAGCAATCTAAGATCATCAACGACATGATAAAAGAAGCAAATCCCGAATGGACTTCAGTTATGAAGGTAATTTTAATAGCATGCTTAATTTTCAGCTTGTATCTAGTAACATTTAAATAAGTGTTTATTATGGCTTAGGATAAATCTGGTTATCTACCAAAACGTAGTGAAATAGCGGTTCATCCAGCGGGCAAATTTCTTGCTATTGGTAATGTCGATGGCAGTATCGAAGTTTATAATCTACCGTCATTTAAAATTGTCTACCACAATATCGGCCATCGATCCATAATCAATAAACTTGAATGGCGCCATTTAGGTATGTTAGGTTAATGGTTCCTTTTAAAGCTCAAATAACAGATAATTTTAACCAATTTTAATTTTAGATGAAATAGGAAATTCATTTTCTCTTGCTTCTGGTGCAGACGACAATTTAGTCATGATTCATGATTTTTCCGATTTAAATAAATTGATTTCCACAAGTAATTAAAATCTGTCTTATTTTTTAAATTAATGTGACGATTGTTTTTTTTTTTTTTTTTACTAATTTTGTTTTTTACAAATAACCTTATGCATTTAGCTACTGTACCAACTTCTTCATGTAAACAAGTACTTGATATGCATAAGAAAGGAGTGACTGACTTATCTTGGAGTCCTTCTGATGCTAATAAATTAGTCTCCTCATCGTTTGATGGCACAGCTATTGTATTTATTAAGCGACATATATATATGTTTTCTTTTATTTTATTTTTGCAAGATATGATTGAATTATGTTTGTTAGGTATGGGATATACAACGTGGCATTCCAATTTCAATGTTTCGTGGCCATCATGGCCGGTTATTATGTACAATTTGGAGCTTGGAAGATGAAGATACAATTTTTACGGGCGGAGATGATGCTTCATGCTTTTGCTGGAAAATATCTGAAAATCCATATGAACTCTCTAAAGGTATACTTTATTTGGCTTTTATTTGCAGAAAAGAGAAAAAAAAAAAAAAAAACATAACTCTATTGGTTTTTGACAACTAGAAGAACTAGATTTCAGTTCGGAAATTAAAAGCAACATTATGCCTGATGCTGTTGCGAAAGATAATATGTCCCAGCCATCAGAAGAAGCTATTTTAACGACACTTGATAAGATAGAACATACAACAACAGACATACCGGAGCCAATTCAGAAAGTTGAAGTTCGTGCATCCAAAAAAAAAAAGTTCAAGAACCTTTTGCCTTTAGCAACATCTCCATCACGAAGAAAGAATCTTCAATATAGTACTTTTGACATCGCAAGAAAATTATATGGTGGTGATATATCGAAAGCAATGGAATTTTGGGTTGATAATGATCATAAAGGTCAAATATTGACCGACGAACACGATAATACCGATATTCAGGTTCCTCCATCTGTAGAGCTATTTTTTGGGGAAGGAAATAAATCACGAAAGATAATTGAGCAAGAAAGTAATTAATTGAACTATAATATTACTATTTTTCGCACATAAAATTCCAAACTATCAATTTTTACTAAAACTTCCGTTCGTGTGTGCAGTCAATGCGCATAACAATTTAGGAATTACTATGGGTTTAGGGGGATTGGAAGCCAGTCCTACTTTTCCATTGCAAATGTGGTCTAATAATTTTGCTGAATTGATTAAAGGTTATGAAAATAATGACGAATTTGCCAATAAAGATTGGATACTTCTTGCCCTTAGTCCATTTGGTTGGTACTTCGTTGTTCTAAATTAACTGATAATGTCATTTGTTAAAGATCTGAACTTCTAACTCTTCACTGAATTTATCTCATGGATCAATAAATAGCTGGCCGAGACGTATGGCAATCCTTGATACGTCTTCAGGCTGAGAAACTTGCAGCTAAAAACGATCGCCACGGTGCGGTATTATGTTGGTTGGCGTGTGGAGAAGTCTATGAAGCTATCGATGTTTATCGCAAAGCTGAAATGTACCGGTAAGTTAATTATATTCCAAAAATTATCACAATAAAATTTCTAAAATTCATAATGCATAATTTTAGTGAGGCGATTGCTTTAGCAAAACTTCGCCTGATTGATGAGGATCCAATTTTTTCGGATCTATATTGTTTATGGGCCAATCAATTAGAAAAAGAAGAGGCATACGAACAGGCTGCAATGTGGTAGTTTAAGTTACTTTAATGAATTATGTATTATAGTTACTATGTTCATGTTTTAATGTACATCTATTTCCAGCCATTTAGCGGCGAAAAAAGAGAATTCGATCCATCACGCATTAAACGTTTTATCGCGTCGTGGTGATCCTTCAGCACTACGCACTGCAGCCAGTTTAGCATTGATGCTTGGTGATTCATCCGCAGACGAAAGAATATCGAGATATATTGAAGATCAGGAAATAAGAAGCTCTAAAAAAAGTAATCACGTGGAATCAGATAATGTGAAACCATTTGAAGAGTAGGATATTGCATACACAATAAAATTAAAATACACTTTAGCAATGTTTGAAATTACAACGCGTTAATTTTGATTATATAGTAATCAATACTCAATATGATATAAAAATATGTTCGCCAAAAATCAAGCAAAATTTGATACTTGTGAATAATTTGGACATTACCTTTATATAATCGCCAAATACCTATATAGAGGTGATTATAAGTAAAAAATTTTAATACAGGTGATCTCATTAATATCAACCTCGTTAGTACTGTATCAACCTAAGTTGCAAGACAAATTTTTACTATCAATATGATTTAGAACCAATTCAAATTAATTTTAGATCTTGTGATATTTTGCCACCAGTTTGTTTTAATTCCGCCAGGAGTTTAGACACTTTTGCAGTAATGTGATGTGGCGTTAGGGTGTGCAACGGCCTATTAAAATCATATAGTTAGGGTCACTAATGATCATCACTAATTGCGGATTTTCTAATG